AATTGGGGGGAATTTTAGGAAAAATTGGGGGAAATTGTAAAAAATTGGAGAAAAAATAGGAGGGATTGTGAGGAAAAAGTTGGGAATTGTAAAAAAAATGTGGGGGCTGATTTTGGGGTGTTGGAGCTGATTTTGGGGGTGATTTCAGAGGTGATTATGGGATTTTAGGATTGATTTTAGGGTTATTTATGGGGTTTTAAGGTTGATTTTGGGCTGATTTTGGAGCTGATTTTGGGGCTGATTTTGGTATTTTAATGTTGATTTTGGGGCTGATTTTGGGGCTGATTCTGTTATTTTAATGTTGATTTTGGAGCTGATTTTGGGCTGATTTTGGTGTTGATTTTGGGGTTATTTTGGGCGTTTTACGTTGATTTTGGAGCTGATTTTGGGGTTTTTTGGGGTCTCCCCAGGCAATGCCCCCGCCCAGCACCTGATCCGGGTGGAGGGGAACCCCCAGGCCCGGTACCACGACGACGAAACCACCAAGAGACACAGCGTGGCCGTGCCCTACGAACCCCCTGAGGTACCCCAAAAACCCCAAAAAAACAAAAAATCCTCCCAAAAAGCAAAAAAAAGCCAAATCCCCCAAAAAATCCCCCCAAAAAACCTCAAATCCCCACAGAAACCCCAATAAAAACCCCAAAATCCCATCACAGACACAGCGTGGCCGTGCCCTACGAACCCCCTGAGGTACCCCAAAAACCACAAAAAAACCAAAAAAAACCCCCAAAAACAAACAAACAAAAAAATCCCAAAAAAATCCCCAAAAAAATCCCCCCAAAAACCCCAAATCCCCACAGAAACCCCAATAAAAACCCCAAAATCCCATCACAGACACAGCGTGGCCGTGCCCTGTGAACCCCCTGAGGTACCCCAAAAAATCCCAAAAAAACCCCAAAATTTCCAAAAAAAAAACCAAATCCCAAAAAAATCATCCCAAAAAAACCCAAATCCCCACAGAAATCCCCAATAAAAACCCCCAAATCCCAAATAAAACTTCAAAATCCCAAATAAAAACCCCAAAATCCCAAATAAAAACCCAAAAATCCCAAAACTCCCCCTCACAGTTGTGGCCCCCTCATTCCCAGCTGGTTTTGGGATTTTTGGTGGGGG